TCCTCGGTAAGCGTCAACCTCATACCGCCCCCCACTGCCCGAGCCAGCTCCTGCGGATTCGTCAAGCCGCCCAGTAGGCCCACGGGCTGTACGGCCCCGCCGCCGCCGGCTGCGCCACCAGTGCGCCCCGCAGCCGGCACACCAGAAGGAGCCCCGGGTGCTGTAGCCGGCGCTACTGCGGACGACGTTGCTGCTGGCACATCTGCTGCTGAGGACCCTGGCGGCTGTAGCCGCACTAGGGTTTTAGGATCCGGAGCATCCAGTACGGGAGGCACAGGATGGAACACCAGTCGAGTGGCGGTTGGGGAGGTAGTTGGGGAGGTAGTTGGGCCGTTGGAAGGTATCAGAGAGTATAGCTCCGATTCGACCTTGACGCGACCTGACCTCTCACACAAACAAAAAAACACCGATATACATACACATATACACACACAGGCACGCACACACACACACGCGCGCGCAACCGTAACCAAAGGGTTGGGGGAAGAGGGGGGTAAGGGCGGGGGGTAAGACGAATACCACTGGCGATTGAAGCAGATGTCCAGGGAATATAGACGGATATAGTCCCGGAGATGACAAATACACAGCATTTCAGTAATATTGACTGACCAATACTGGTCATGTGGCTGTGACGTGGCCATAGCTAGCTAGGTTGCGAAACGAGATACTTAACACTAGCTGGCAGGTGGCTGGCAGAAGTTAAGGCCTGACTTCTGCTCCCGGAGTGTCCGGGTTCAAATCCGCCTGCCGACCCCTTGGGTGTTAGGGTTTTGTTAGGGTTTAGGGTGCTGAAATGGGAGGTGGGCCCCCATCTTGTGGATGGTGTAGGACCTAATTATATCAACTTGCGAGCTGATCAGGAACTAAGTTGACGCGCCGTTGATCCGCTTGATTTGGTTGGATGCTGGTGGTGAGTTGCCAAACTCAAAGAGTACACTCTGAAGTCGGATGGGGTGAATGGCTTAGGGTGCCCCTCTAGCAGGGGAGAGCAGGGAATTGCCTCGGGAAGGAGGCCACTGGTGAAGCTGCACCACCCTGTAACAACATCAATACTAGCTGCCCAGTCCAAAGAAGGCAGAAGGCGATAGAGCGGGGAAAAACTACCTAGCCGCCGCCGAGATGAGAAGAAAGTCCTTTTAAGGAAAGCAGGAAAGCAAAGGAACCGCAGTGGTCAAGTGTAGAACTAAAGGCGGCAAAGAGGAAAAGAGGAAATGGTATCGGAAAGTGTAGCGCGAAAAAGTAAAGTAACTCGCAAGGTCTACACCGACGTGACGGCGTCAGTAGTGAGAACGATATTTTTGCGGATTTGTTGGCTGCTACGCTGCTTGCTGACATGCATGCATGTGTTCCTCCCAGGCCCAGCTAACACGCCCCTGGCCCAACCAACCCAACCAACCAACCAACCAACCCAATCCAGCTAGCCAACCGACATGGCGCGAAACAACAAACGACCAAGCTCGGACCCGCTAGGACGCACCTGACCAGGCGGCACCAGCGGCGGGCCAGGGGCACATGCAAAACAGAGAGCAAGCAAGCTGGTCAGCAGCGGCAAATAAGCAAGAAAGGCATGCGAAGTGCCGCTTAAGGAAACTAGTGTGCACGCACGCACGCGCACACGCACGCAGACAAGGAAAAGGGAATCCCCACCTTCCTCCACTCCCACCACCCCCCATCCTCGGCCCACAGCGAGGCAAAGCCGGCGGCCGGACTCACCCGTTCGCCGCTTCGTACGACAGTCCAGCCGACCCGCAAGCGCCAGCACACCGCCTCCTCCGCCGCCTCCCCCGCCTCCATCCCCACCACCACCACCATCACCACCCCTGGTCCCACCGGCGCCGCCAGCCGCCGCGGCGCCGCCCAGCAGCGCCCTCTGCGCCACCTCGGTTTGCAGCTCCGAGAGGGGGCTCAGGTCCACACAGCAGCTGCTGAATCGTCGGAGGGCAAAGACCAGCTGCGCGGGGTGCAGATCCTGAGGGACGTGCGGAGGAGGAGGGGATGACGGACCCCGGCCGCGGCCGCGGCGGGGACGGGGACGGGGGCAGGGGTGGGGGCGAGAGGGAAAGTGAAGTGCATGGAAGCTTGGCTAGGGCCCGGGAGGCTGACATAGCAGGGCAGCCATTGAAACCAGGGGGTGAATCGGAACCTGCGCCGGGAAAGAAGCCCCCTAAGCAGAAGGCGGTAACCTTGAGAAAGCGGCAACGGAGTATCCAAGGGTTTCCGTGAGCCATCATGCCCCGGGCCCCGGGGCAGAGGCCGTCACGGCGTCAGGCAGGTCGGGTCAGGTCGGGTCGGGTCCTGCAGTAGACGCGCTGTCGAAAATGACCCTTTCCTCATTCCACCTGAATGAGGGGCCGTAGTACGAGAAGCCGTACCGTGTGTAGTGACGTCAGCACGCACGACACGACAGGAGAGCGCTGGACCGCCTCCAGCAGCGCCAGCGCCTTTGTGGGTGGCATGGAGAGGGCGGGCGACAGGGAAGGGAAGGGACTCGAGGAATGGGGCGTTACGGGAGAGAGTTTTTTGGAAGGGGGTGGGGGTGGGGGGGAAGGGGAGTAAGAAACCGGTAAACCCCTCCAGCTCCAACCTGACCAACAAAGCAAACCTGCTCACCAATAAAGAAGGGAAAGGGAAGGTGGGGCACAAGGGGGAGAACAACCCCCTGTTTGAAAAACACAGACGGCACGGCGGCCATCGGCTTATTTCCCGCGCCGCCGTGGGCAGCGCCAACCCGTTTACAGGGGTGTTCGGTTAGTTAGAAGGTTCGTGGGGGCTGGATGTCGAGGTTGGGAGTTACGCTGTGGCAACGGGAGTACGATATTGTACGATGAGCCTCACATCATCTCGCGCATCAGGCACAGCAATACGCGGTGACGGCACGATGCTAGAACTCCTAATATCGCCACAGGTACACATGCAGTTCTCGTGGCACTGCTGTAGAGCTGGCATGTGTACCTTGTCGTACCGTACCTGCCAATCGCCGTACCGCTCCATCAGCGTGCTGAAGCAGCTGATCACGATACACACCGAGCGGAGTCCGCCTGCAGTGGCTGCAGTGGCTGTAGCAGATGCAGCACCGGCGTCATTACCGTCCTTGCTATCGGGCGGTGACGCCGGAGCACCTCCTGTTTTCTCATATTGCGAAGACGGATGCGACTGCAGCTGCGGTGGCCGCAGGAGTTCTTCCTGCAGGGCTGATAGGCCTACAGCGAGGCTTTGAGGTGCCGGTTTAAAAACCGTACCTGCCGGTACGCTCGTGCCCGACCTGAGGGGCTCAGGAAAAGGGTATGAGGAGCAGAAATTATGGATTAGGAAAGGCAATAAGGGTTTCAGGTTTGGAGGGTTGTATTAGGTGAGGGAACGGGTTGAAAAGGCGCTGACCCAGATCGTTATTTTACGGTTTTACGGAGGTACGGCGGTCCGGTTGTACGTACTCACTCTGCTGGTTGATCTGAGCTGGGTGATGTTGTTGCGAGTTGTCGCCAGCCCCAGGGATCGGAAAACAGGTCTATGAGCTCGACGCCGCGTTCAGGCGTGGGTCTGGCGTCCGGGTGGGCTCCAATCCGACGGATGGATGTCGTGGATGTCGCTACATCAGCAAAGGCGCCTGTGAGATCGACAAGCCGGAGGCTGGTCGCCTGGCTCCGGCCTTGCCGCATGGCCGCAATGAACAATTGGACGGCCTGCAGGGACGAAGTAGGGCGGAAGTGTTTTTCGGCCGATGTCAACCTGGTGGAGCTTGGGGGGAAAGACACGGTTGCCTCTTGCACGTACATGCCTCAGTACAAGGGTCCCGCCGATGATGCTAAGGTTGTCGAGCACGCAGCAGGTTGCGCAGACTGCAGCGTCTGGAAGAGCGCCGTCGCGCAGGTGTCGAACAGAAGCTTCCATAATTCTCGGTAATTAACGTTTTAAAACATTGTGTTTTGAATAACGAGTCTTCTGCAAGGGCTTAAGGCACTTCTCTGTTTCACATTCTCCCGTACGAAAATTCGGAGAGACAGCTCTTCGACAGGAACAACGAGATGCCTACGCCTAGGTCTTCCTTGGATGTATTCTGATCTTATCGATTCAACACTCTATGAGTAGGATAAAACTTCGATTCCGCAACATACGTTCCGGTCTGCGCTGTATATTGAGGCAAGCGCCGACTACATGCACATGAGTAACTCCACAAAGTTATGGGATTTCTACGCTTCCTAAACGAAATTGGGGTGCAAGGCAATGGCGGGCCGACCCACGCTGTGGCAACCGATGGTGAGCTTGCGTTCAAAGCAGGCATGCTATCTCGACGTCATAATCGATTTCACAACATAACCATGTGGTGATTCATTCACCTACTTAGTCACTTCTACCTGTGGGTGATGCTGTTCCCTACCAAGCCCACCTCCCGCATGTCGCTCTAGCATGCAAACTGACATTCCATCTTTTTCCCCCATTCCCAACCTAATAAAACTATAGCCCTGGCGTATGAAACCTTGGCCTGCATCACGGCGTTATGCTCCCTTTCTCTGACCGCATCCTAAGTAACAAGCAAGAAGGCGATTTATCCCCACCAGAACTCCACAGCGCACCTAGTTCCCCCTCTTCCTCCGCATCCTCCCAATACTCCGCTTCGGACGTTGAACCATCAGGCTTCGTGAGCAACTCTCCGCCTGTACGGTAGACGTTTAGAAGCAGGCCCTTGCCTGCTGCTAACCTTTTCCGGCCTGCCGGGAAGAGCTTTAACCCCACTTGACCACCTCCCCCATCAGCGGACCCTCGCACACTGATGGTATCAACTCGTACCCACCTCCACTCTCTTCCCCCTTGCCAATCATCCTCTTCACATCACCGCCTACGTGCGCTTATTTCCTGTTAAGAGCTATATAAATCATAGCTCTTAAAACCAACGTCCATCGATCCTCTGGGTTTTCCTCAATGACGATGCAACCCTTTTTTTACCACTTCTTCTCCTCCGCCTTTCCCTTTTCAGGCTCCTACGTTGCCTACGCAATCCCCGGTGGCCCCCGCGTGGAGCTGCACTGCCTGGTTCCAGGATACGGATCCGGATCTGGGTCGCGCCCGGATCGCGGTCCTGCCTACCGCCCGCCCGTCCAGCTGGTGTCGGAAATGCAGCAGCGGCCCATCATCTGTCTGTGTTTCGGAGCTGGGGCCTTAGGTGGGTTTCGGAGCGGGGTCTTGAAGGTCCCTCCCGCGAGCCAAATCCCCGTCGTAACACTGAACTCCCCCCCCCCTTTTCCTTGGATCCCCTCCTTCGCTTCTTCGGTTCTGTTCGGATTCTGGTTGTCTTCCCCATATGGGGCGCCCTTTATGCTTCACCTTTATTTCTAGCGCTCCTGCTGCTATTGCTGCTGCGGCTGCTATTACTATTGCAGCTGCTCTCCCTCCCTACCTCTCTCCCTACCTACCTACCTCTCCCTCCCTACCTCTCTCCCTACCTACCTACCTCTCCCTCCCTACCTCTCTCCCTACCTACCTACCTACCTACCTACCATCCTCTCTCTCCCTCCCTCCCTCCCTCTCCCTCACCTCGGACGGCAATAGCACTTCCAGACAGTTCCCTTACACGGCTTCCTCCGGACTGACTGACTGACTGACTGACTGGCTGCCCAAGGTGTCGGCAAACGCCAATGGAATGTTACCATGGTGCCATAGGGCCCCCCTGTTCCTCTGCCTCCTCCTCCTCCTCCTCCTCCTCCGCCTCCTCCTCCGCCTCCTCCCAGCTCTCATCCCCACCCCCCATATGGCCACCCAATGCACCTCCCTTCGCTCTCTCTGACTCGTCTGCCCCCCTCTCCCAAGAAGCGCTGCCCCCCTCCCCCTTTTCCTCCCCATCCTCACTCCCCCTTGCTCCCGCACCCTACCTAAAATGTGCGCTGTCGCACCCCACCACCCGTCGACCCATTACCGAAGGCACCAGCGACCCTGCACCCGCCACACACCCTCACGGCCGCCATCCGGCTAGGGCTGTAGCTGCAACAACTGTGCAGCCGCCGTCCGTGCTGTTCTGCGGCTCGTGGGATGCCGTGGTGGCCTGGAACGTGACGGCGGTGGTTGAGGCGGTGGGCCGGGGGCAGCCACCGCCCCCGCCGATTCAGGTGTGCGTGTGTGTATGTGTGGTTGGGGCGTGTGTGCGTGTGCGTGTATGTGTATGGGGGCCGTGCGGGAGAGCCGTGTGGGTATGAGGCCATGGTGTGACTTGGTGGGCCAATAATGGCGGGCCAATAATACCCCCGAAACGTTGCTGCGGATTACGTTTCTGTGATTCTACGGTTGAGGTAGGCATCCGGGGGAGGGGAGGGGAGGGGAGGGGAGGATTTGGAGGCACGGCGGATAAGGCCCGGGATGAGATGGCTTCATCGTTCTGCTGATATGGGTGATATTGATTCAGTGTGCTTTACTCCAGCTGTGGCGGTTTCAGGCGGGAAAGAAGTGTGCTGCTGATGGTCGTGTGGGGGTCGTCCTGGGGAGGAGCCGCCGCGCGGAGACACAGAACATATGCTCTGATGATAGGGAAACAAACACGTCTTGTCGGCTGCCGTACCGCGTGTGGGTTGCCAGGATTCCCTCGCTCTCATCTCCCTCCCCCCCACACCCCCATACCCACACATACACAAGTTTTCGACCCCCGGTAAACAAAATCATTACCCTCTCCCCCCCCCGCCCCTAAAACACACACGAACCCCCCACGGGGCCGCCCCCGGGGACTCTCCTGTTGCAACCTTCGCAGGTGATGTCGGATCAGGGCCCTGTGTACTGCATGACGTACAGTGCCAGCTTGTCGTACTTGGTTGTGGGCACTGGTGCTGACGTCAACATATTTGACGTACGCACCTTTCGACACGTATTCCGGTAAATAAGTATGTGAGGAGAGGGGATGATTAACACGGTACGGGAAAAGAGCTACGTCGTACAGAAAGAAACGGAACATACCTTTCCATGGCTTCAATGCTCCTCTCATTTCCAAGTTTGTCCTAGCTTTGGTATTTTTGGTTGGTGTTGATGGGTTTCGATGTAACCACCGGCAGCAGTTAACCTCCCACTTCCTCGCATTTAGGATTTCCCTTCCTTCCCCCTCTCCTCCTTTCGGTCAGTTATACGTTTGATACTCTCTTGCCCTGGCAGCAGCTTCAATCGTGTGTGGTTCGTCTTTCCCCCTCTCCTGACAGGCTGGATGGCCATAGTGCGGATGTGTTGGCTGCGGGTTTCTTCCCCCCGCCCAGCAACCCCAGCCTGCTGGTCACGGCGGGGGCGGACAGGACATTCAAGATATGGGACCTGCAGGTAATGATTCCCTGTGTGTGTGGTGGGGGGAGGGGGTGGAGGGGCGAGAGGGGGAATCATGTGTGCGTGTGTGTATGTGTGTGTGTATGCACATTGCGCACGCATGTAATACCCGTTACATACGTATATTGCATTACCCGTTACATAAACCGTTACACCAACGGTATCCGACCGTCAAGGAAACATCAGTCGGGGTCAAAAGGAAGGGGGAGGGGTGAAGGGGAGGGATAAAGGGGAGGGGTAAAGGGGACCCGGTCTTGCGATCTTAACACAACCCCAAGGCCACCTTGTTACTGGCTGTGGGGGAACAACCACATGCTCACCACCGGCCCAGACCAGCGTCTGTTGACCCCCCCCCTCACCCTGGCAGCAGCTTCACTCGTGTGTGGTTCGTCTTTCCCCCCCTCACCCGCCCCCACACCCGGCCCCACCACTTTCCCTCCCGCTGCGCCCCGCAACTCCCGTAGCTCTCAGCCCAGCCTGCGCCCCTCCCGCTTCCTCTCCCTCACCCCGTCCCCTCCTCCTCCCCCCCCACACACCCCGCCGCTCCTTCCTCCGCCTCCCCGTGCTCAACTCCCCGTTCAGGCCGGCAGCTTG